TGAAAGTCAGAGCACCCTTGGGAGCCAGCGAGAGGCACACAAATCTAGGTTTGCACCCTTCAGCGCAGTTAAGTTATGGCGCTATTATCGTGGCATGAAATTAGCTTTCTGACAGTAAGCTCCTATAGCAGGTTTAAATCACAGCGTGGGGAGAAAACCTGGGCTCGTACACTCCCGTAATAGCAGAAAGCGCGGGGATTGAATATCCCTGGAATGCCACGCAGAGTTATTACAATGGAGCTTCGCATCAGCACACAGCAGTGACTTGCAGATTGTTAAATTAATCGCACGGGAGAAGCTCCAGAAGGAGGTTAAAATGATTTGTTTTTAGAAACACAGTTGAACAGTTCCACTCAGAGGAAAAGCCGATGTACTGTGTTGTAATCAACTGTGGAGCTTCCTGTCTGATCAGACGAGCTTCTTGTTGGGACGGAAATCCTTTATCTTGGAAATTTGTCATCCGCCATGATTTCGTAAAGCTGTAAATGTGGCTCTAGAACGTTCCTCTGACCATCCTTAAGTCATTATTAGTAGAAATTAAATGTATTTGTGAAGTGCTTTTCAAAAAGAGTCAAATTTGAGGCCAACCAGAACTTCACACACAAAGGTTTCTGAGATGTCAAACATGTCTTCATGCACAACAAATACTATATTATATATTATCATTATTATCTTTTCCTATGTCTTATACCTGTTACTTGCAGTAGTGGAAAGTTTAATCACTGTAAGTAAATGTGCTGTACTTTTACATTTTTGAGCTACTTATACTTATAATTGTACTCCTCTAGAGTTCAAGATGTGAATATTGTACTTTGATAACTTTAGTTACTTTGCGGATTTGGTTTAAAAATACAAAATATCATTAACAAATGAATTAATATCATACATTAATATAAACGTTTATTGATCCCTAAGGGGAAAGTCACCAATCTACCTGCAGATAAACTATAGAAGTAGTCAAATCCCAAACAATAAATAGCGATGAACACATGAATGCATGAGAAACTATGAACCAAACATGTACAATATACTGAAACATGCCATCCTGTATGATGGGCACTTTTACAATGTGATGCTAATACTTTAGCACTTCAGTCATGTATCGATCTAAATGCATGACTTTTACTTGTAACTTGACAAATGTCTTCATTGTCCACAAGATGCTCCTGAGCAAAACGCTTAATCATAAATTTGCTCACGTTTCTTGTCCTAATTGCTTCCTTTATAATGTCTGAGCACACCATGTGGAGATCTGAGTTTTTGTGTGTCTTTGATAAGTGTGTTGTTGTGTATTTGCTTGTGTGTTGTGGGCTGCAAGTTCTTTTCAGGCTGGGCGGGACTGTTGGACAGGAGAGGACTCGTTCACTCTCCTTCGCACCTGAGGCTCATTGATAATCAGTGCTGGATAAAGCCTGCCTCCACCTGTGGAGTGACGCCTCCCAGACCCAGCCTTCTGCAGCCAAGCCCCAGCCTCAGCAGTTTTGCTTCCCGCTCCCTTTAGAAACCTCCCCTGGAAAACCCTCCCTCACTCAGCTACCCTCACGTGCTTCCCAGTGTCCACCGCTTTCCTGCAGCCACCAATAAATCCTTTTTGCTTCTACCCTAACCCCTCTGTTGCATTTTTGGATCCCGCCCAGACTGAAACCCTGACACACTACACAGTATAATGCATTTACTTTTAATTTTATTTCCATAGGTTTTAAACTTCTGTGAGGTTTTAACGTCAATGCAATGACCCCATAAAGCTAAAGTTTCTTTTGCAACACTTTGTCTAAATGCACCTGCAGATTTCAAACATAACACTTACCTGTTACTTGTAACAGAGCAGTTCTACTCTGTGTTTGTGGTCCTTTGACTTATTTACTAGATCTTCCTCTAACTCTGGTTGCTTGACAATGTGCAGGCTACCAGCTGTTGATCTTACATTTGAAGAAATAGAATCCGATTAGCATTACCACATTGCTGCCCTTTATGGCAGTGCAATCCTGTGAACTTTGATTAATTCCCCCTCAGGGATCAGTGAAGTATTTCTGATTGTGACTAATAATAATAATAGCTCCATCGTCGGTAAACTTCCGTGAGCTGCTCTGGTTTTGTGTTCTTAAGAATTTCAAAGGTGAAGTGTGTGTCATCCATGTGAAGGGCCTGGACTCAAAGTGTTTTATGAACTACAGTTAAAGCTTTGTGGTTGTGTTTCTCAGACAATCAGTCGAGTTGCAGTTCACATCCACGTCTGTCCCGACTTGACCTTTGTCCGTTTGGAGATGAAAAGTCATGACTTCATTGTTTTGGATATTAGTTTAAAACTTGGTCATACTTAGAGTGTGAGTTCTTGAGCAAAAAATGGTTCACAAGGTGATCTTTCATATAGGAATCTAGTGAACATTTGTGCCAGATTTGAAGGTTACTGGTCTAGAATAGGGCTGCAGGGTGGCGCAGTTGGTAGCACTGTTGCCTCGCAGCAAGAAGGTTGCCGGTTCACATCCCGGTGGGGGCACCGGAATATTTCTGCGTGGAGTTTGCATGTTCTCATGGGTTCTCTCCGGGTTCTCCGGCTTCCTCCCACACAGTCCAAAAACATGTTGAGGTTAATTGGTGATTCTAAATTGTCCGTAGGTGTGAATGTGAGTGTGCTTGGTTGTCTGTCTCTAAGTGTAGCCCTGTGATAGACTGGTGACCTGTCCAGGGTGTCCCCTGCCTTCACCCTAAGTCGGCTGGGATAGACTCCAGCCCCCCCGCGACCCTAGTGAAGATTAAGCGGTGTGTAGATAATGGATGGATGGATGGAATGAGAGAATAGCAGGAATGAGACATATGGACAGACCTGAAAACTCTCTGGACTCAGAGGCATGAAAACTGAATGCCGAAACTAAAAGTTGTGCAAGGAGATGTCAACACTCACTCGTTCGTCACATTTCTCGTCAACTGCATCATTGTAATATAAAATAAATAAACTTGTCAGTCTTCTTGTGTCACCCTCAGCCTGCCCTTCAGCTCGACTGTACATCAGCGTGTCGCCATGTAGACACGAACGAGGAAGTTCTCCCCTGATCAGAGCTGAGTCATCCAGCGCCTGAGGGAGTCTGTGGGATCGGCGTGGGAGAGCTCAATCGCTGACAAATGCTCCTCCGCTGAAATGTTGCACCCCAACTGTGCAATTATCAAAGGCCCATTGAAGGCTAGAAACGAGTGACATTGTGCCGTCGATGTAAGTCGAGACCTTGAAGGTGCACGGCGACTTTTAAAAACACTTACGACCGGCTGATGGAATAAATTTCACGGCTTTCAAGGTCTTCGGCTCTCAAACTTCTGGCAAACTCTAAGAGTAAAAGAAAAGTGTCACTCCAAAGGTGGAAATAAGCCAATGTCTGCATCATTGGGAACATTTCTGAATAATTCAGTCTGAATTAATGTGACATGTCGACATGACATTCCTTCATAAGAGAGGCTGACATCATGCTGCACATTTTACAAGGACACCACAGTTGTCACACGCCCATGTTGGGCTGCAGCTATTCTTATACTTCAGTTTTTATTACGCAGTTATTTAAAATGTCAAGAATAATCAGATATTCCTTTCACAGGAAGAAAGTGGTTTCATCCCACATTTAGTAATATTATTAATGGTAACCATTTTATTGCACCTTTCCAAAACTTGTAAAATGAGCTTCATACAAAGCAACTTTTTCTTTTTTTCTTTCTTTTTAATAAGGAATAATAGAACAAAGTGAATAAAGACTGGGTATACAGGGTCAGATTTTGAACACGATAAAGTAAAATCATCATGTTTAGAGTTGACTGAAAATATCTGACTTTCACTATTACATGCTCAATATTAATATTTTATCTAAGATATCATATTTGAGTTTTAATTGCCTTTGAACTATCTTTCCAAATCTGTATTGGTTTCCATAACTGTACTTATATTTGTTTTTTTTTAAATAAAATCTGTCCATATTTAGATGAGACGTTTCACCTTTACAGTACCGATAGGAATATTATATAAATCAATGACACATGAAATTTCAGAAACAATATGATCGCCACATAAGATTTTCAAACGAGCAATAACTTATTATAGGAATGTATAAATATATATACATATATAAAATACATATGAGATACTTGAGGTACAAAAATTATATCAAAAGTACTTTAAAATATTGAAAATGTCTGTAGAAATGGCCACAGTCAGTGTTTAGAACATTTGTCCCTCCGCTTTTTGCATTAGTGAGCCAAAAACTTACAGGAATATGATGATAAAACATAATAATTCCAAAGAACAACATCGTATCACCATAAATTCATCATTATCTTCATGAAAATATCTCAAAAGAACTATAAAATACGTCTTTACAAAAGGCCAGAAGTGTAGAATTTGGGCTTAAGTAAGGAAACATCTCTCTCAATATTTAGAACACATGCATTTGTCCTGTTAATGAAAACCCAGCCCTTTATATTACCTACAGGGAACATTATACTACATTATTAACCTATGAAATTACAGAAATATTATGATTAAAATGCAATAATTTAATAAAAATCTTATGACAATATATTCATCATTATCTTTAACTTGAAAGGCCCTATGTAGGGATAATAATAAATAGGAAAAGTTGATGTAGAGGAGAATAAATATTTGAAAGCAATACAGAATGTTACTTCACTATATTCCATGTAAAATGTTGTTTTTCCTTATATAAATAGGCATTTCCACTATAAATAGATGCAGAAATGGCACACATTGTTCCATAAGAATTCACCAGAATACAGGAAATGAGGTGTTTGAGGATCCCCCCGCGCCCTTAATGTTCAAAGGAAACCCACGCCCCTGAGCTTCACCAGAAACCACCTGCTGAAAGCCCAGAGGAGCCCTACTGCAGCCGCTCCACGCTCTGGGAGGGCTCGGGTTGGACTTCGGCTCTAGTCGGAAGCGTTCGTGTGCATTCGGGCTCTGCCGGTGTGCCAGAGGGCAGAGCGAGCCGAGCAGCTCCCAGCAGCGCCATTCATCTGAACGGACCGCGGGCACACCTGGTCGCACCGAGGAGAGCGAGTTCGGCGACTGAAACAGCTCCACACAGGTGAGTTTCTGCCTGAATTTGCAACTTTACTGCTCTCTCGTCAACTTTTGCTCACTTTTGAGTTTGTTTTATTGGAGGAGAAACTTGTATTTCTACAGAAACGGACAGTTTAAGCATTTAAGCTAGCAGCAAACTAACTTTTTAATAACGCGCGCGACGTTAGAAATACAAAACAACAAAAAAAGCAGCTTTTAGGTTTGAAAAAAAAGGAAAAAAGTTTATCGTGAAGTTGACTTTATTTCCCCTTCTACCTGTCAACAGCTCCCGGGTTAATCACTTGAGGAATGTGGTGCCATTAGGTCGGTAGCCGAGAGCTGGAAATTCACATTAGCCTCAACTTTTAAGTTAAATTTCTTTACAAGCGAGCAGAAGGGATCATGGCTACGGGAGGATTTAAATCAAACGCCACGACAGACTTTTTGGAGGAGTGGAAGGCAAAACGGGAGAAAATGAGAGCCAAAATGCTGGGGGACATTGCCGCAGCCACTGGTGCTCCCTTGGGTGCCACAAACACAAACAGCAGCAGCAGCAGCAGCCGCCACGCCGCTCCTCCGGGCACCGAGTTCACCAACAACGGCAACCCGGACCGAGGCGCCCCCGCCGGGAACTGCCACCCCTCCGCCTACTCGGTGGCTCGGTCCCCCTCCGGCTCGGCTCTGAAGAGACCCGAGGAGGAAACGCACCACCCCGTGTCACCCACAGGCACCCCGGGGGGCAACCTGAAGAAGGCCCCGCCTCAGACGGACAAGGCTCAGTCCCCGGACACCAGCCCCATGGCCTGCAACGACAGCGACAAGGAGAGTCCGTCACCCAGCAAGGGCAAGGAGAAGAAGAGCAGCGGCCCCAGTGCCAGGAAGGGCAAAGGACAGATCGAGAAGAGGAAGCTCAGAGAGAAGAGGAGGTCGACAGGTGTTGTCAGCATACCGTCCAATGAGGTGAGTCAGTCCTGCTGGTGTTTCATGTCGTTTAGGTGAATCCCCCTGCAGGAAAAAGCACCTTTTCCTCTTGGCTGGGTGTCCACAGGGAGGTCAGAGGTTACTGTCAGATCCAGCAAAACTTTAAGTCAGCAGGATTATTTATGCTGCTCAGGGGTTTGACTCATCCATGCTGCTGTCACAAAATAGGATAATATGGAGTCCCATGTTGGGATGGAGGAGGCTGTCAAAAAAGCCTGTCACAAGTGTTTTGTCTTCTGAGTTATGCTGAATTTTAAAGTCTGAAGTTAAGCTCTCTTTGTGTTTTTGAACTTTTTAGTTAATATAGACAGTCTAAAGATCGATTCAGGTGTATACAGAGGGCAGCAGCTGTTAATCAGTCTGCTAGATTTTCACAAAATGTCAACAAACATCACTTTCTGGAGTCGGTGAGACATGTTTAAGTGGCTTGTTTTGTCTAACTAGTAGTCCAAAACCTTTTGTTTGTTAAAATAACAATTAGTCATGGCCATAGCACCATGGCTAATGTGTGCTCAAGCGAAGTTAAGTAAATAGCCCCCCCACCCCTCTTTTTTATCCTGTTTCCGAGCAGTTGACCAGCTTTCTATTAAATATTAAGTTGTCCAAATACGTAGAGGTTTCACAGAGGCAAGGCAAGCATGTCTGAGTATATTTACTGCTGCCACAGCAATTTAAAGTGCTTTACATAGTGCAATAAAATATGTAAAAGAAAGAAGAGCTGCTTAAAATGTTAGAATTCAAATGGAATTAATAAAAAAAGTCAGCATGTAATGAAAGTGCAGACGACGTTACTAAAAGTGCAGAGAAGTTTAAACTAGAATTCATAGCACAGGTCAAGGGTTTTCTTTGGTAGGTGACAAATTAAGATTGTTATTAAATGTGGAAATGGACGGACGTTAACTTTTAGGGGTTAGTTTCTGCTGCTCTGTGCTGTTTTGTATTCTTTGGCTGTTTTCAACATTGTGCCGAAAAAGTGCGCTCGCTTCAACGTATTACTTGTGGGCTTCAGTGTTTGTTGTAATTCCATGAATAATTTAAGTCAGAGAACAGAAAAGAACAGCACTTGTTTTCCACAAGTCTCCAAATTCCTCCCATACATGTGTCTGGTTTAATCGACCCCTCTGTGGCGAAAGAAATGAAAGCAGCTCTCAGATGGTGGAGGGGAGACGTGGAGGGAGGGAGGGACGGAGAGTTGTCGGCTGGTGGAGATGTGTGTGTGTGTGTTGGAAGGCGGTGTTGTACGTTCATTGTTATTGAATTTAAATCATGTCACACTCCTGGCTAATTCCTGTGGTTCAGACACATGCAGGAACTCTGATATGAAGCCGTGCCAGGCAACACTGAGCCAGCGCTGTGTGTGATTATGTACACACAGTCTTTGAAAGCATTTAAGTTATATCAAAATGGTGGGAGTGCATGCTTTATTTTTTTGCAGAGGTGGTGATGGGATGCCTTTCGAAGTGCTCCGTAACCACCCTGTTTCCTATATCCCTTTCTCTCACTTATTTGACAGCCACCCAGAACTTTGTGCCCTCAGGGCAGCAGAAGTTTGGAGTTTGACCAGTCTGTCAGTTGGCGCTCCACATCCTGTTATTAGGTGCTCAGCAGTGCCGAGCAAAGCCGTTTGAAAACTGGTCACAAGCCAGGCTGTAATGCAGGGCTTCAGCACTCCGGTCTGTGCCAGATATGTGAGATTGAGCCCATAGGCCGCTGATTATGTAGTAAAGTGGGTGAACAGACTATTATTGGGGAAGGTGGGAGGTAATCTAATGAGGTGGTGAGCTGATTTGTGTGAGTGAAGCAGAAAGAAAGAACCGCAAGTCTCTGATCCCGATTGAGGTCTGAGTACAGTTTGTAGAAGTGACCCTGAGTCAGCATCTTGTCTGTGTGATGTATTAAGTACATACTGGTGACAAGTTAAAGGAAAAACCTGAACCATTGACCCCTACAGTGAAGGAATCAGGTGGCTCTGTAATGCTGTGGGGGACATTAGGCTGGCAGGGTTTGGTTCCACTCGTGCCATTAGAGGGAGAGATCACTGCAAATCAATACAAAGCTGATCTGGGTGATTCCTGTTCTCCTGTGATGGGAGTGGTCTCTTCCTGGATAGCAGTGCCCCCATCCACAGGGCACACGGGGTCACTGAATCACATGCCTTCACAGTCACCAGATCTCAACACAAATGAGCACCTATGAGGGGTTTTGGATTAATGATTTAAATACCACCATCAGCAAAACACCAAATGGCGGAATATCTTTTGGAAGAAAGGTTTTCATCTCTCCACTGCACAGATTTGGCAAATCAATGCCAAGGAGGGGTGGGTGGCACATGCTGGCCCAACACCTTACTGAGACACTTTGTTAGCTTTTCCTTTAATTTGTCACTCATCTGTATGTTGCCTTTTACTATTCTGAGTATGATCACATCCAGGTTATGTTTTGTTTCCTGTAAATATTTGACAACCCTGAATCAAACCTATACCGACATTTCTCGAACTTGCAGATGAATAGATAACTCTAGATATCGGATCATTCTCAGCTATGTGTGCAGGCGACTTGAATAAAAACTGCTGCCCTTATCTTCCATTAGTGGTGAAAATTCTGGTTTCTGCAAGGCAGCCAGAGATCAACTTAATTTTGTCTTCAGCTATTGCATTAACTAAATTGATAAAGAAATGACAGATTTTCTGAAAGCAAACCAAACCTTCACCAAGGGAGACGATCAACACGTGTTCATCATGCCAACATCATTTTCATTTGACACTGAAGCTTTGGTGGAGCTTGCTAGCCGCAGTTCACTTAATGTTTTACACATTAATAAAAGCTGTTTTTAACTGCTGTGTCCGTCGATTCATAAATGCTGCCTGTTTTGTACATATCTTGTAGTAGCTAGGTAGATAGCTGTATAGTTCCTCTTGTGAAAAACACTCTCAAACTGACATACTAAACACGAAACCTATTTGAATTGCTGAAGAAACTGCAGTTCTGGATGATGAATGACTACGTCTAGAACCAGACTAAATTACAGCAGACCATCAAAATAGTTTTTGATTTTATTTTCCTAACACAGTATTGTCCTCCCTGTGAGGTTGCCAGGAAACTAACAAAGACTCCAGGAAGATTTTAGACAAGATGCAATCCAGTACATAAACACTTGTAAAAACCACAACATGTGGTTTTTACACTTCCGCTTGTTGTTTTTTTTGTTTTTTTTGTTGTTGTCTCGTCACCGAGCCAGGCTACCTGTTTACCTCTGTGTGCAGTTTGCGGTAAGCCGATGTAAATTTCTTTAGAGGACATAAATGATCTTCTGTGGTTTCATTTGGCAGCTGCATCAGTCATGCAAATTCCTAAATGGAAATAATTGTTCACATCTATAATACTGAAAAGTATGTTGGAGGAATGTATGGCATTTTACATCCCCTTTACAGTTTTTTGGCTGCTGTATGGTAGTTATGTAACAGAGTTCATATAGTACTTCTTTATTTTGTTCTCTAACTGAAATTTGAGAACAGAGACAAGCAGCTTTACAGTCTGCAACTAATTATTATTTTCATAATTAAGTAGCTTTTTGTAGCCACTGATAATAATGACAACTGAAACAGCTTCCCACAACCTCGAGGTTCTTTTGTTTTTTTTTTCTGACCAGCATTCCAAAACCTCAAAACCATGAAGCAGTTTGGAGATGACGGGGCCCCTGGGCACAAGATGTTTTAAAGGCCCCTCCTATAATTAACCCCAGTTTCTTGAAGGTGTCTAGATGGAGTCTTTGTTGTGAAGTCTTCAAAGTAAAGGTGTTTTTCCGAAGAACCTTTTAACAAGGCATTTTATTAGTCACATCATCACACAGTGGCTCTGGCGTTCCCCCTTAACAAATAACTAAAGGTATTTACTTGGCAATAATGTAAACCCTCATAACAAAAGCAAAAGCTCAAACGAGAAAATATTCACAATTATTAACTTTTAAATGATAAATTGATTAAAAATGGTTGTATTCTTCTGTTTATTGAACACTTGATTAACAATCAAAGCAATAATTTCTACGCAGTTTTACCCCCAGAGAAAATTTAGTGCTACAAAAAGAAAGTTTTGAGTTAATGCCATGTTTTTTTCTACCTCCTACTCCTGACACATTTGATCTATAACTGATGACATGTTGAGATTCTTTATTGTTTTGGCAACACATCAGTTTCCATTTAAAACTGTTTAGCCAACTATAGCCACTAGTACTAAATAGCAGCTCAAGTTTTCCAACTTTAATAAAGGAAGCTTTATGTCATGGTCTGAGATCCTACAAGCCTTAAAAATCTGACATAAAAACACCAAAACTGGTTGCGTAGCAAATGTATATTCCTTTTGTTAAATGTTTTTCCTTTCTCCTCCTGTTGCTTGTTAGAAGGACCAAACTATGCAAATGAAGACTCGCTCACACAAGCTGCCTTTGTGATGCGAATATGAGTGGACAGGTGTGAATAGAGATGCCTGGGATTATCTCCCCACTCGTTCTGTGCAGTATAATAGCTGTTGAGCGGGATTTCAGAGCATCTAGGGAACCCAATCTTCTGCCTGTTGAGGCTATAATGGCTCGATAAAGGCTTCCTGGTTTGCTGGAGAAAAGACACTTCTGCACAGCATCAATCAAAACCACCTCCTGCAATCCAGTAAGGTGTCTCCTTTCCCTCAACCTGCCCGCTGCCTCGGACTGGAGGGCATTGTTGTTGACCTTTGACCTGCTCACGACAGGCTTATGCAACACAGGAATGTGGAAACGAGGGAGTGTGTGTTCGGTGTTGAGTTCTCTCACATGAAAATGTTTGGGGTTGTGATGTAAGCGTGTTTCCCGTCGGTCACGCAGCATGCGGCCTCATGGTGATTCATGTCGCTCATTGTGCTGCCTTTTATAAAGTCTCTGAGTTATGAGGTTGTGGTCAGACGCTCCAGACGAGGAGTGTGAACTTTGTTTCATGTACATGGCTGGA